GACAATCAGACAGACAGGGAGCAGCTGAGCTGTGACACACTGGGGAACACTGAAAAACACTAGAAAACTAAGAAAATAAACACAGATCGTGACACTCTGCTTGTATAATGTTTTATTTTGGGGGTTTTGCTCAGTTCCAGAGATAATCGATGGAAGCGTCCTGACTGCCACTGTTGTAGACCTCAATGCCTGGGTCGAGTACGAGTTTCGAGTGTTGGCCAAAAACAGCGTTGGGGTTGGAGAACCCAGTCCCGTCTCAGTCAAGACGAGGACAGAGGATGCAGGTGAATGACAGCTCATTCGTCTCCTGTTCCTAGAATGTTACTTTGCGCTTGTAGATCTAAACAAGGTCTTTGCTGTGCAGTTCCAGATGCGGCACCGGGTGACGTGGGTGGAGGAGGTGGAAGCAGATCTGAACTGGTCATCACATGGGAGGTAAATCATCAGTATTATGTTCTAATCCTTTTTATCCTTGAGTGATGTGCTTAATATTTCCACCACACCCTTGTTCTAGTGGGTTATGGGTGTCATAAATTTGGAGCCAATTGACGGCTGTCGCTGCGGTCGTTTTCATTTTTCTTAAAGAGTCTACAACCTAGCAGTTAATTTCATTTATGAAGCTAGGATCAGTGTTGAATTACTGCTGCTGAGTCAAGTCTGCAGGGCTCAAATCCAGCAATCATGAACCGGGACGGTAGCTGAAAGATAAGATAATATTGTCGGAGTCATTAAGCGTTGAGTTATCTCACTGGTTTCCCATTTAATTAAACGCAGAATAACTTTTTATTTTTAAAGCCTGCCTATATGATCTGTAATGGGTGCAGATGTTTTTAAAATGATATACAGCGGCTCGTTGTGTTTTTATCTGGTGGGTCGCGAAAGGAAGTGTGTGCGCCACCCCTGAGTTTGTGTGGTGCTTGTGTGAGCCCAGCGCTGGTGTGAATGGGAGTGGCTTGTATGTATTTTAATATCACTATAGTTTTGTGTTTCACTCTCAGCCTGTTCCCGAAGAACTGCAGAATGGCGAGAGCTTCGGTTACATCATTGCTTTCCGCGCCTTCGGAGAGGTTAGCTGGACTCACGTGGCCACCTCTGCCCCCGGCGCATCTCGCTACGTGCACCACAACGACAGCATCGCGCCCTTCTCTCCGTTCCACGTCAAGGTTGGCACTTACAACAGCAAAGGCCAGGGTCCCTTCAGCCCCGTGGTGACCATTTACTCCGCAGAGACGGGTAAGGATGGAAGCGTGGATCTCTGTGAAGCCATAAAGCCATTTCTCGTTTTTGAAAAAGACGAAATTATGAAAGTGGTTCTGCTGCATTTGTTGCATTAGGGCTGTAGAAGTCATTTTAAGGGGAGAAAAAAAAGGTTGAGAGTGAGGGACACAATTGCGAGACATTTTATGTAAGAGTAGGCAGTTTGTCTCTAAATATCAGCACTCTCGCTTAAAAGACTGCACAAAAGTACGAACCAGTTGGCATTTAGATCTATGCCTCCTCGCAGCCCGCTGAGAGGGAATCAGTGTGAAGTGTAGTGTTAGTCTATTTACCAGCTGCACCTTTTTGTGATGATTCATCTGAGCTGCGATCAAATTTACAAATGTAAAAATTTAAGACATTTCCCCCACGCTTATCCCTGCACGCTCACGTCTCGTGTCGTCTGTTTTCAGAGCCAAGTGGAACGCCGGCGGGAGTTTGGGCCAGAAGTGCCTCCGCCGCCGAGATTGAAGTGAATTGGCAGGCTCTCTCCTTCACCCCCGAAAGGGTGCTGGGCTACGAGGTACTTTTCACTCATATAAATGGAAACAGATATCACACAAAACACAATTCAAATGCTTGTCATCACCTCGGTTGTACCTCGACGCCTTCGCCTCTAAACTGTGTTGCCTTGGAAATGGCTGCTTCAGTCAGGGTGGCGGTCACAGCCAGAATTATATACTTCTTTGTATCAGCATGGCAGGAAAACATGTCGGTTTGGTTTTAAGAAAAGAAAGGAAAATTGTTTGTTTGCTTACTTTCTGATGTTGGTGTCATTTGTAAAATAAATAAATAAATAAAAATAAAATTGAAAATAAATCACAATACAGAGATTCCTGTCAAAGCTTCATGTCAGAATACCAAAGAGTCATCGTACGACACCAGAAAGAGTAAAACCTCTGACAGCTCACTTTACTGGAACTCATCCATAGTAGTAGTTCTTGTAATAGTACTTTAAATAAAAGTTTTTTTAAGTTTTAGATGAGGGTTCAGGCTGATCTGTTTAGTAATCAGAGTATGTGTTGTGGATGAGTCTCAGCTACTACTACACCAAATTTTGGCTCAATATCTCATTATCTAAAACTGAGAGATTTATAGCCATATTTTTGTTTGTTAAAGTGCCTGTGATATACACATCCATGAAGTATAAAAAGACAAAGAAAATAAATTTATATTGAAGAAACTTGGCACAGTACACATGATTTTACCCTTTATGTCACATAATTGGCATATTTTCTTTTGAATTTGGCTCAGCTAAAGTGAAACAGGACGTGACATCAAAGGGGAACTCTTTGAGAAAGAAAACTCTTTTTTGTAATTGAACTATAACTCTTTCTCATCTCTCTATGGTAGTGATTAAAATAATCTAAAGAAACATCAGATTCTTCTCTACAGTCTGTGTTGCCATTTTAGCAACGATCCGTTCACATTCAGACATTCCCCTTTGACATCACTTCCTGTCACTTCACATGCAAATATCTCAACAACTGTTCATCTCAGCGGCATGAAATCTTTTTTACAATATGTTATCAATGTTATTTTTCCAAAAATATGTTCATATTTATTTCAAAAATTTGATGTCTCAGGCACTTTAAGGTTGATTAGCTGTAGTCACCATTTTTAATAAAGTTCACATAAAAATTTAAACAGTTGTGTGTGTATATAT